GGTCTTCATCCCTGACCCTCAGTCTTTCCAAGCATAATGTCCCTTTCCAGGGAATAACTTCACCTCGCTACATGTCAAAAGTATGAAAGATGAAGAGTACTCTTGCTGCACTTTTGCCTAGACATACTTGTTTGTGCTTTTGACAGCCAATGAGATACTCAGTACTCAGTATTCAATACCATCACTCAAAAGAAGCAGTTCTTCTTCTGTCATTCCTGTTCTTTGTCTAGCTCTCTGATGCATAGCTAGTGATTGAGAAGACTGTGGCCCAAATTAGGTGCACCTTAGTTCTGCAACTGACACCATTGCTCTTCAGCATTTTGGAAAAGTCCCTGAGGGTGGACTTTCCCAATGCAATATGTATCCTGATTTTCTGACTGCTGATACCAAAGATACTGATTGTTAATCCAACCAAGGTAAAACCATTGACAGCTTCAGTCCTTTCTTATCTATCATAATGTTGACTGTTGGGCCTGTGGTGAGGATCTTTGTCTTTGTGCTGTTGAGATGTAATCCATACTGAAGAGTGTAGTCCTTGATCTTCTTCAGCATTTCGTATCCTTCCCATCTTCAGCAAGCAAAGTTGTGTCATCTGTGTAACACAAGTGGTTGATGTGTCTTCCTCTGATCCTGATGCCACATTCTTCATAGTGTACGGCTTTGTGAATTATTTGCTCAGCGTACAGATTTAATAGGTCTGGAGAAAGGATACCTCCTTGATGCACACCCTTCCTGATTTTACACCATGCAATGTTCCCTTGCTCAATTCAGACAAGAGCTTGTTGGTCTAGGTATAAATTCTGTATGAGCATAATTAAGCATTCTGGGATTCCTCTTCTTCTTAATGTTAGACATAGTTTGTTATGATCCACACAGTCACATGCCTTTGTATAGTCAATAAAACACAAATAGATATTCTTTTACATTCTCTGCTTTGAGCCAGCATCCAGCTGACATTAGTTATGATATCCCTGGTGCCATGGCCTCTTCTAAAACCAGCTTGAACTTCTGGTAGTTCCCTGTCAGTGTACTCTTCCAACCATTTTTTAAGGATCTTCAACAATATTTTTATTACATATTACTTATATTGTTTGATAATTCCCCATTCTGTTGGTTCATATTTCTTCCTATTTTTAAAAATCTTTGCATAACACAAAATAATAAAGTTTTTCTCTTATGTTTTCTTCTAGAAGTTTTATAGAATTAGCTGTCCCTTCTAAGTGTATAATCCATCTCCAAGTAAAATTTCCTTGAAAAGAACAATAACTATGTCTTGGAGAAAGTGCAACCTGGATGTTCCTTAGAGGCAAGAATAGTGAAACTGCCTCACATGTTTTGGGCATGTTGTTAGGAAAAGTCAATCCTTAGAAAAAGACATAATACTTTGAAAGATGGTGGGACAGCAAAAAAGAGGAAGGTTTTCAATAAGATGGATGGACACCAGCAACTCTAACAATAAGCTCAAGAAATAATACGGATGGTACAGGACAGACCAAGATTCAGATCCATTGTTTGTAAGGCTATTATGGGTTGTAGTTGACTCATTGGTGCATAACAAAAGGGTTCATTTTTGTCTGTATGCATATCTGGTTGCTCCAGCACCTTAGTTGAGAAGAGACTTCGTTCTCCATGGGACTGCTTCTGGGCCTTTGTTGAAAACCAGTGACTGAACACAGGGAGTCTGCTGTGCGCCCTCCCTTGTCATGTTCGCCTCTACATCTGCCTCTGTGGTAGTACAACACTGTCTTGAAGACAGTGAGTTGATAAGAAGCCCAGAAAGCGAGCAGTAGTAAATCATGGAACCATTCCTTTTCAGAATTGCTTCATCCACACAAGTCTTGAGTATTCACCAATACATTTTAAATTCAGTTTTCCTATTTTTTACTAAAAACAAAACCTCTACTGGGACTTTGTTTGGAATAGCTTTGTAATGAGAACAATTTGGGGAGATCTAACATCTTAAAGTTTCTTTTACCATGTACTTATCATTTATCTCAGGAACATTTTGTATTTTTCCAATATGTAAGTCTTGCATGTATTTTATTATATCTTTCCCTCCATATTTTATATTTTAGTGTTTTTATAAATAGTATTTAAATGAAACCTTTCTGTTGCTTCTCACTAGTACGTTAGACTGTTCTGACAAATGACCCCATTTAGATCACAGCCGAGCAAATCCGTGGAGCAGTTCTCCTCCGTAACACACAGGGTGGCTCCGAATCAGACTTGACTCAACAACAGTGGGCTTTTATGTATAGAAACATACATTAATTTTCACCTGTTAATACTGCATCCTTCTGCACTGACACCCGTCTACACACACAGATCTGGTGGCATAGAGTATTCTGTGTTACAATGTTAATCCACAGGACAGTTTGAATAATCCACCACTTGCTCCATTGGAGAAAGATGAGTAGTTTCCTCTCATAAAGATTTACAGACTTGAGAACCTGATGTAGAGACTCAGTGAGTTGGAATCTACTCGATAGCAGTATATTTGGGTAAGGAGCTCTGCTGGTGTAGTGCATTATGTATTGCACCGCTAACCACAAGGTCAGTGGTCTGAATCCACCAGGTCCTCTACAGGAGAAATATGAACTGTCTCCTCCTTTGAAGATCTACAGCCTGTGAAGTGAGGTTTTGCAAATATAAATTTGTATAGTCTACAAATAATCAGTTTCATTTATCGTGCCTTATCTGTGTATTGACTGCTGTACCCATTGACTAGATGTGATGGTCTGTCTTGCCTCCTTGATCTTGTGAAAAGTGTTGAATCTTTCATGTGGTTAGATACTACCTGTCAGTTTGTCATAGCTACCTAGTAATAGGTCAAGTAGGCTCCTTTGTATCCTACACTGCTTAGAGGACTTTTTGTTTGAAAAATCATGAGTTGTTATAGAGTTGTGTCAAGTGCTTATTCTGCATTTAGTACAATGATTAAGTGAATTTTATATTTTGATCAATTAGCATCGTAAATTACTTGGTTGATAACCAAATATGGTAAGTCAATATAGCATTCCTGGGACAATTATCACTTGGTCACAATGTAGATCCTTTTTACTTACTTTTTTAATTAATTCTCTAATTAGGGAACTCTGGTGGCCTTTTTATTAGAATGTCTTTACGTTCAGTTTTAGGTAACACAGCTTCAGAGAATGAGTTGAGAATTGCTCCTTTTTCATCATTTTGTGGAAGAGTTTGCTTGGAATTGACTTCCCTTTAAATGATTAAACTCCCTGCCACTGAGTTGATGTCGGCTTGATGGAGTTGAGTTTTCATCAGCTTTCAGAGGCTATAAATCTTCCCTGGAGCCAACGACCCTCCTCTCACCTGCAGAGCACCTAGAAATTCAAACCACTGACCCTTTGATTTGTCCATTTCATTTAAGTTACCAAAATTATTTGCCCAGAATGCATATTACTCCCTTATTTAATGTTGGATCTATAGGAATGTAACCTCTCTGATAATTGTAACTTTTCCATTCTCAGTAAGTCCTAGAGATTTACCAATATTAATGATCTTTACAAACAACTAGTTTTGGTTTTACTGATTCTTCTCTATACAGTTCTTTCAATTATTTTTGCTTCTTATTGGTTTTTGAGTCAGACCGGACTCATAGGTGACCCTCCACCAGGTTTTCAGAGGCTGTAAATCACTCAAGTGGAGATTTGCTCATTCTTCTCCTACAAAAAAAGCAGGTGGATTCGAACCATATGCCTTTAGATTGACAGCACAGCTCCATACCACCAGGGCACCAGAGGTCCCTTTGTTAAAGACTACAGCCAGGAAAGCCCCAGGGGGCAGTTCTACTCCAACACGTGGTATTGCGAAAGTTTGTAACCAACACCATCTAAATGAGCAGTAACAGAAACCAACTTTGAGAAATTTTTGTTGTTGTTGTAGTTGTAGTATTTTTGTTGTACCAGAACCAGAAACAGAGAAGAGACCGCCTGCTTCCCTGGAACTAAAGCAGAACCAAAGCATTTGAAAAATGCTATGGAATACCGTTTTTTTACGTATGCATGATGCTTAGTCAGATTCGTGCTGACTTTTGTTTATAAAGGTGGCAAATGTGGAGCTGTGTCCCATGGGGAGTACGTGGAAATTCTGAACAGAAGACTTGCTTCTTTGAGTTTGGGCCCCTGGGCCCCACTGTGGCAGGTAGCAAGGCTCACTTTCGCACAGGTGACTCACTCATCTGTAAGGGTAAGGCAACAACTAAGAGGAAGTGTTAAAATAACGTCAATAACAGAAGTATTTTAAAATATTTTTTCTCCTCCTTGAAAGCTATATTTGAATTCACGGTTGTCTTGTGTAAATTGAAGGGGAAAATACAATACTTAGTAGCTCTGGCCATACCTAACCCCATGGTAGATTTACGTAGTACGATGAAGGGAGTGTGGTCCTGTAGTCCCCAGGGGGTCATGCTGCTGACCCAAAGGTTGAACTCTTAAGGGTCAAATCTACTACTGGCTCCTTGAGGAAAAGATGGACAATCTCCTTCCGTGCAGTTTACAGCCATTGAAAACCTGCTGGAGGGTCAGCTATGAGTTGGTTTCAACCCAACAGCAATGAGTGGGAGTTGTTTCTGAGATGAAGGGTTCCTGGGCCAGTGTTGAATCTCTGGATTCCAAAATTCTCAGTCAACTGCTTTGTGAATTACATGAGAAATTGTAGAGAGGACACTTTGTCCCTGAACATTCTGACCAGCTCTTTTGTTGAGTGCCAGTCATTTTACCACAAAAATGAGGAATTCACCTAATCTTTTAAAGGAAAGGAGAAGTGTGATGGGTTTCTAAGATTGTCCTTGTCATCGTTTCCAGGCCTCCATGGCACAGTCAGGTTAGGTGCGAAAGCTGCCTGTGCACCCCACCTGGTGGTAGCTTGCCTACTAGACTGTACTTTGAACAAAACTGGTTTGAAGTAAAGTGGTGTGCGATCTCTGCTACCAGATCATTGTTCACTGGAAAAGTGATGACATTTGGAATTTTCTCTTCCAGGATGACTTCCTGTTCAGCGTCTCTATTTTAAGTGGGATCCTTTGCAGCATCCTGGCCGTCTTGAAGTTTATGCTGGGCAAGGTTCTCACCAGCAGAGCGCTCATAACGGATGGTGAGTGAGAGCGACAGCCTTATCCACAGGGATCAGGCACATCGTGGAGGAAGATGCTGTCCAGTTGCTTGAACGGGCCCTGGCTGAGCTGTGTATTAAGAATTAGGCTGCTAATTGGAAGGTTGGTGGTTTGAATCCACCAGTGGCTCTCAAACAGAAAGGTGAGGTAGTCTGCTCCTGTACAGCTTTCCAGCCTGCCATCCTGGAGGACATGTATGAGGGGGATTCTACTCAGGGTTGGGTTCTGCTGTCCTGGAGGGCATCTGTGAGAGAGAATCCACTCAGGATGGAGGTCAGTTTAGTTTGTTTCCTGGTGAGTTGCTTTTCTTACAACTCGCCCACCCCACCCCCCTCAAAAAAAGAACAGAAATCACTCCTAAAATAAAACAAACACTCACAAACCTTTGCAGCAAACTCATTGCTTTCAGGTTGTAGCTGACACATAGTCAACCCTCCTGTGGGTTTTCAGAGGCTAAAAATCACCCAGGGGAACACTTCCCATCTCTTTCCACTATGGAGCAGCTGGTGGAGTTGAACTGCCCACTATTAGGTTGGCATTGCAACTCCTTACCCACTATGCCAGCAGAGTGTTCATTATTTTTGAGTCTCATATATCATCACTGCCCACCTTGCACCTGTTTAAGGTCTTACCTCAGGCCTATGTCTTTATCCCTGGAATTTCGTCCTTCATGGTCACTAGCCTGACCATTTCTGGTCTGGATTCTGGAAACTTTCTCTTTGTGAAGTCTCCATACTCGCTTTCCCTTCAGCTAGTCAGATGTGTGGTGGTGTGGACTCCATCCACTGTGTGTGAGCCTGGGCTTTGTCCACAGGGGGCAGGGGCAGGAAGTGAAAAGCATGCTCCACCGTGGGCCACCTCCTGATCCACGAGTCCCCAGGAGTGGGAGAACTGTTAGCAGGTCTGGGAAGAGGGGGAGCATCTGCAGGCCCCTAGGTGGCTGTCCTTGTCCTGAATCAGCTGGCCCTGGTCCAGCGCCCTTCCTGTCTCCTGAGGGACCTGCTTTCATGAAGATAGGAAGACCTCCAGCCTTGTGACCTTAACATCCTTGTGGATTAACAAGCCAGTGCTGTCTAGTTGATTCCAGCATATGAGAATATCCTGGAAGTAATGTTTCCCTGGAGTAGTCAACACTATCAACCGCTATCCAAAAGGGTCAAAGCTTGAGTCCATGTGAAAGCACTTAGGAAGAAAGGCCTGGTGATTAATCTGTCACAGACACCCTACAAACCTACCAGGAAGTATGTGACTCACCAGGAGTTGGGATGACCTCACAGATGTGTTTCTTTGAGAAGAGTATCATCTGTGTTGGGGGTGTGGGGGTTATGGGTTGAGCTGCTAATCAAAAGTTCAGTAGTTTGAATCTACCAGCTACTCTAAGGAAAAAAGTCATGTCAGCCACCTCCCAAAAAGAATCAGAGCCTTGGAAATGCAGTGGGGATTGTCATGAGTCACAATCAAAGAGGGAGCAGTGGGGTTTTAACAATTTTGGTCAGAGAGCCTGGGACTAATACTGTGATGCCCCAAGGCTGGTAGCACCAGGATGCTCAAGGGTCCTTTAAGGACGTGCCTCACCTCCACCTTGCAGGAGGGCTCTGATTCAGTGGCTGATGATGCCATACCTCCCACAGAGGGCTCTGATTCAGGGCTGAGGTGGGATTTGGGGAGCAGTGTTTTCAGCCAGTGCTCAGCCTTTATAGTGTATGCTGAGGTCTGGGTGGTGATACTACAGGTCCTGTGGCCTCCCATCCCCTCTAGGGCCCAGATACACCATCATGCCAGGTGGGACAGGCCCAGCATGTCCCGTGATCCACTACAGGGAGTTCATTCAGCCAGCAGCTCACAGGGTCCATCGACAGCTACCAGTTCAGATGGCCCTGTGTCGTTGACAGCTGCTCTTGCAGGGTCTTTCTTTCTGAGTTGGCATACCCCTGCTTGGGCTGAGAAGACCCTCTCTCAGCTCTGAGACAGAACTTCCATTCTTAACCCCTTCTGGCTTCAGACACTTCAAGTTCTCACCTGCTCAGCTGAGTGTTAGCTCCATTCCCTCAGGTCCGAACTGATTCATAGTTCTCTCTTTTCCTGTTCCCAAGAGCAAGATTCGGAAGTCCCCCCACTGAGCCTGTTACTTATGAGCTGCTCCCCGGGGTGGGTGTGCCCCATAATCCCTGCTGGGGTAGGGAGGTGACAGCAAAATTTGCTGCAGTAATTACAGCCTCCTACTAATGGAGTTGCCTCCCATGTGTTTCCTTGTTCATTGATCCCCAGAATTAGGGCACAGTCTGTAATTACTCCTCAGTTCCCCCAACACTTTTGGTGGCCACAGAACAGGATAGGCTCCTAGAAGATCCTCCCATCAGGGTTGATGGTGCCCATGAGCAACTCCAGCACATGTCCTGTGGTCTTGCAGGGAGAATGCACCAGGGGCTAAGTGGGTATTTCCTGTCCAGGAGGGGAGCAAGTGTGGCAAAGACCCACTGGGAGGGGTCAAGTGCATGGGCTAAAGCAGAGGGTGGACTGGGACAGGCTGATTCCTGAGGGTTTGTTTTTGAGAGTCCTGATGGCAGGAAGTAGTACAGCTGCTGGGCACAGGATTCAGCAGGATACTGGACATAGGGCGTGGGCTCCAGGCTCCTTGCTTTCTACATCACCGCAGGTCTGGTCTAGTTTGGTTGTGGGACTGTGGCTACCATTAGGGAGCTTGGTGGTGTGATCTGGAGAAAATTGTGCTGTTAACTTACACGTGGAGGTTCTCCGCTGGTTCAAATCCACCAACTTCTCCATGGGAGGCTGAACAATTTCCTCCCATGTGATTTACAGCCTGGGAGACCTGGAAACTTAGTGTAGGGTCCGCTGTGGGTTGGAATCAGCTTGACAACAATGAGAAAGGCGGTGTGTGTGTGTGTGTGTGTGTGTGTGTGCGCTTGGTGCAGTAAGGACTTGGTTGTCATAAACCCAACTTACTGTTGTCTAGTTGGAACTGATCCATAGCTGACCCTCCAGGGAGATCTCCCAGGTTGTGTATGGTGCAGGAAGAACCCATAGCTGACCCTTCAGGGAGATCATCCAGGCTATGAATGGCATGGGAGGAGACTGCCTGTTTTCTTCCTTTGAATTTCTGGTGGATATGAACTCTCAGCCTTTTGGGTTCAAAGTGCAACTCCCTCCAGACTACACCATTATAAAAAAACAACAACAACAACCAGGAAATCAGGGTTACAAACCAAGTAGAAGAAGACTCTGAGGACATGTGGCAGAAGCTGTGGCTATGGGTCAGGAAGTGGGGGTGCAAGTGCAGAACCTCTGAAATGGGCTCACTGCTCTCTTAAGTCCCTTTCAGTTCAAAGGACCCAGGCACTCTGATATCTTTAAGTATATAAAAGACTTTTTTTTAAAATGAAAATTTTCCACAGAAACTCAGAATTGCATAGCTTCTGATCTAGTTGTTAAAGCAGCCCAGCAGAGCCTCTGATCTAGTTAGATTCAGCCTTAATTTTGCTTATTTGAGCTGGTAGCAGCATTTATCCTGATAGCAACTCATGGCCCTGGGCATGGCATCAGGGTGGGTCATGGGGCTGTGAGCTGAGGTCCTTGATGTAGAACAATTAGTGCTGAAAAGTCTCTAGAATCTGAGGACAGCCAGCAGACAGAGCTGCTCCTGTCCAGGGAGACTCAGTTACGCAGCCTTACAAGAACCGAAGCAGAGGCACGTCAGGCTCTATTATGACAGAAGAGAGGCTGAGTGGAGTGGGAAGTGACTCAGGGGAGAGGAGGTAGACACACTGAAGCCTGTGGAGCAGGACTCGGGTTGGGGTCCACTGGCTGAGCAGACTATGGCAGTTAGTCACCTGCTGGTGCCAGCAGTACAATGACTTGTGGAGCTGAGGGACATCTAGTGGACATCCAGTGTAACCTCACCCTCTCTGAAGCCTTTCAAAGCCTCTGAGGGTGACAAGCCCGCTCCTGCCTGAGCAGAGATGGAAAACGGGGAGTGATGGGTCAGCATTGGGTGGGCACTGTGGTCTCCTGGGCCCCTTCTTGTTAGTAATCAGCTCCACAAGGTCCACTCTGGTTCATGGTGACCACAGTGTGTCATTGCCGGCCAGCATGCCATGGGATGCAGTGACCGGATTCATGGGGTAGATGACCAGGCCTTTGTTCTGAGGTGTCCCTGGTGAACTTGAACCTCTGGCCCAGTGTGCTAACTGTTGGCAGCACTCAGAGGCTCCATCCCTGTTCTGTAGCCAGCTCCCACAGTAAGATCCCCTTGATCTGGGGGAATCTGAGAGGTAAGCCCCATCCCAGTGGGCACTGCTCTGGTCAGGAATGATAGTCAACTTTCTACCCAGGAGACCAGGTTCATTTCCTGGGCTGGGTGTGTATTCACAGCCCCAAATCACCTGTCTGAGAGGCTCATGGTGCTGAAAAGGTGTCTATGGAGCTTCCACTTCTGCCTGCCACCAGGTGGGTTCTGACCTGTCATTGAGGCTCAGAGGCCATGAAGAGATTGTCCCACCCCACTTCTTCAAGGAGTGGCTGGTGGAGTCAGCAGGTCTGTGTGCTGCATGAAAACCTCTTGCATCACAACAGTCCTGTAGATGCATGGGGCAGTGCTCTGCTCTGCTGTGAGTGGGGTCACCATCAGTCAGGGGTCACCTGGACAGCAGCTGACCACTCTGAAGGGCAGAGACTGCATGAGGATGGAAGCTGGGGCTCAGCGTAGGGAAGTCTCTGCTGACATCGAACCAATGCAGACCATCAACAGGGTCTGAGGTGGTGGCTGGCCATGAGCATGGCCAGGCTGTGCTCCTCCCTGGCTCACACTGCAGAACTTACAGGCCTGCCTGGCCTCCTGGCTGTTTTCTTGGGGACTCTCAGGTTCACTTGGCTCTGAGCTAAGCTCCCTGCTTCTTCCACAGGGTTTAATTCCCTTGTGGGTGGCGTCATGGGCTTCTCCATTCTCCTGAGCGCCGAAGTATTCAAGCACAACGCCGCAGTCTGGTACCTGGACGGAAGCATTGGTGTGCTCATCGGCCTCACCATATTTGCCTATGGGGTCAAGTAAGTGTTTGCCCCTGTCGCTCCTTTAGCGAGGAGGCTCACCCCAGGGACACACGTTGGATGGGAGAGTCACCTCTCATACCTGTGACGTGACGCCAGTGCTAGAGGGTGACAGAATAAGCCCCCCAGGAACCAGAGAACAGAGCAGATTAGTGCTTGCCAGAGAATAGGGTCTGGGGTTGCAGTGACTGACTGCTGCAGGGCCTGCATTTCTTGGTGGAGTAATAAAAACGTTCTAAAGTTACATAGTGGTGATGGTATAAAAAGAGCAAGGGATGCATGGAGAGGGCCATGTATAACTTAACACCTTTACTAAGGATTACTGACCCAATCAGTAACATCAACCATACAAAACCAATGTCCATGAATTCAGACATGTCTCTCCTGTACCTTTTTCTGCTCATCCTAACACTAAACTTACTGCTCTCCTAGGTCCAAAATCTGTCACAATAACTCACTGACTACAGAGAACCATATTGTTATTGTGGTGTTGTTGTGTGCCGTTGAGTTGTATCCGACCCATAGCAGACCCTCTGGTAGGTTTTCAGAGGCAGTTAATTGCATCAGAGGAGATTGCCCATCCTTCTCCCACTGGAGTGACTGGTGGCCACAAAATGTGTGCCTTCATAATTGCAGCGAAGGTTTTACCATTAGGGCACCAGAGCTCCCTACACAACAAAATTAAGGAAATCAAAGTGCTATAATTCATGTTGGTAGCCGATCTAATCAGTCAGGACAGAAATGTGCTCACAGGCACCTCAGCCTTGAGCCGTGTGGCTTTAGGCCAGTGTTAGAAAGCCCTTAGTCCTGCATATAAAAAATTTGGGTGAAAGGATCTTGACCTCGTTCCCCTTGGGGCAGCATTCCTAGGCTCTCTACTGTGGCTACTGCTCCTATAAGCCCACGTCTGGCTGGCACAAGAATCTGTGGCCCTCAAGGGCATGGTGCATTCTCTTGCTGCTTCCTTGCTGGTGGTGAGATTCTCAAATTCTGCTTCTGGATCCACTCAATTTAATGGCAAGTCTAGCCTCTCCCCTTGTGGATAGGCTAACATACCTATTGGCATAACCTCACCCATCCACATGGCAAAATCAAGCTCAATAGCTACAAAAGTCATTTGAACAAAAATTCAACTACAACCTTGTGAATGTACTGTGTTGTAACTGTGTACTGTTGAGTTGGAGCTGGCCCATAGCTGACTGTCCAGTAGGTTTCCAGCGGTAGTATATTGTACGGGAGGAGACTGCCCATCTTTCTCCCATCGAGCACCTGGTTGATTCGAACTGTGTGCCTTTGGGATGGCAGCACAGCTATGTGAATTATATTTACAAATTTCCCTAGTACCCTGGCGCTGGGGCTGTGTCAGGTGAGGTGCTGAGGTGACCTGTCTGTCCTCCTCTCTGCAGACTCCTCATCGACATGGTGCCAAGAGTGAGGCAGACTCGCCACTACGAGATGTTTGAGTGACAGTGGCCACCACCTGAGCTGGCTGCCCCCTGAGCATGAAGACGCTCAAGACACAGGCAGCCCGCGCCAACACAGAACCGGACATCATCTCTCTTTTAGAAATTCCCTTTCATGAAGTTTATCCTCCTGGGACGAGGTCTGCCCACAGGTCAGCCTGCACTACGTTCCTCACCGCTGCCGTCAGATGCCCGGGGAAGGAGGGGAGATGCTCTCCAGCTGGAATGGAATGGGCATGTTTTCGGATTTCTGGAGTAAACGTGTTCTCATTGCTAGGATGCCTCTTGGCTCGGCAGGGTGGTCTGTGGTGCTCTCAGCCTGCAACAGAGCTGCTGAGGGGACCAGCCCTCTAGGCCTGGGGCCTCTCGCCTCCTTGTCCAGTCTCATAAGGCACCTCATCCTCCCTTCTCCCACCCGCCTCCCACCCCACAGCCATCTGTGTGTCACTCCCTAATTTCTGGCAACATGTTTCATACTGTTTTACTAATCCTAAATCTAAACAGATTTGTTCAAAAGGATACCATTCTATTTTTAAATCTCTTAGTGATTGAGCCTTGCATGGACAAACCAAACACACCCCGTCTTGTACATTCAGAACCTTAACATAAAAGTAAAAAACAAGACTCATTTTTTTGAGAGATGTGACCCTAGAGTTTCTTTGTAATAAATGACCCATATGTGCACACATCTGTATGCTACAGAGATGACAGTGGTCAGGGCATGGACCAGGCCTTCTGCCAAAGGACACAAGGTGTACCCACTGTGTGTAATGTCAGCCTAGATGCTGTGAAAGTGTCCCCACACACAAAGGTCTGTACCTCTCAGGCAGCAGCGCCTGACCAATAAAGACTTGACCTGTTTTGTATGGTATGGGGGGGGGTCATCTGTGTTGTCGTGTGACGGAGGGGTTCCCACGCCACTCAGTAGTGACCTCTTAGACGAAGGTGGGGGAGGGGTGTGTGTGTGTGTGTGTGTGTGTGTGTGTGTGTGTGTTTCTTGAATGGATCACTAATAGGCTCTGTGACCAGTGAGACAGCAGTCAGCCATGCCACTGTGTTCTACAGTGCTGCTTGGAACCTTCTGGACAGAAGTGGTCCTGAGGGCTGCACTCCAGGCTTTCCACTTCATCACTGTGCCCAGCCGCACTGGGCTGTTGCCCGCCAGTAAAAGGGAGGAGGATGTGTGTTCTGTGGGGTCAGTGAACCCTTGAAGGGTTTGATGCTTTCAGCATGGCTTCCCCAGTGACATCTGAAGCATCTCGAGGGATGTTATTACGCCCCTGAGAGTGGGGAATGCACGTGCTGTCCCTCTGCAGCATTTCTCACTGAGCATCGCCGTGAAAGCTCAAGGAAGAAAAATGGCTCATTCTCCAAACTCACCACACCCTTTTGTTCTTGGCACATTTTTGTTCTACCAGATATGCATGTGTGGTGTCTCCATCTGTGACCATGACATCAAGGTGGTCCTACTGCAGAGAGCTGAGCCCACAGCCACACCACCACTAGCACTAACCCCTCAGGTGGCCATGAGCTCACTCTCCCAGTGTGCCCAGGACATTTGCTAACCGAGAGCCCAGCTGGTGTGCAATGGTTCGTGCACTTGGCTGTGACAGGAAAAGCTGCTTAGTGGAGGGGGAAGATCTCCCTGACACAGTGGGGCCTCTGTGCACCAGGGGACAAAGGCCACTAGCAACAAGGTCCACTGGTCCCTGTTCACAAGCTCATCTTTCCTGAGGAAGAAAGGTAACTAAGGCCTGGGCCTCAGATACATTTTAACTCTACTTTGTCAGCTCATCTTCAAAGACTCTGCAAGGTCTGACAGAGCATAGAGTTAGGCACTCTGGTGACAAGGTATGTAGGGAATGGCCCTGCCAACCCAGACCTCAAAGCCCACACACTTCCACCAGCAACTCCAGGGAAGAAAAATGGGCGGTCTACTCCTGTTGCATTTATAGTCCTGGAAGGCTGGCCCACGGTCGCTGTGAGCCAGACCTCGATTAAGCACAGTGAGTTTGAGTTTTAGCATATATCTTTCTCACTCTCTTGATCTCTCTCTATATATACATGTGTGTATATAATTCCTATTGATTTGGAATCAACTCAGAACTGACCCTCCTTTGGGTTTCTGAGCTGTAAATCACACTGGGAGACCCACATTTGTCTCCCTTGGAGCCCCTGGTAGATTCGAACCACGAGATAGATATGGTTTGAACCCATCGGTGGGTGGCTCTTTAGGAGAAAGACAGTTTCTTCCCATGCAATTTACTGCCTCTGAAAACCTGCTGGCCAGTCGGCTATGAGTCAGTTCCAACACAGTGGTACATAATAACACACACACACACAGACATATGTTGTTGTATGTGTTGGAATCTGAACTGGCACAGAACTGTACATTTCATGAGAGGAGATGTTCCATCTCACTCCTTCAGAGTGCTGGTGGGTTTGAGCCAACAAACAGGCATGGCCTTTGGATCAGCAGTGTAACTCCCTACAGACCACACAACCAGAGCTCCTATCTGTCCATCTATCTGTGTACTCTTGAGTATGGATTGAAGTTCAGCATCAAGAAGACAAAGATTCTCACCACTGGCAGCACCATGACAGATGAAGAAGAGATTGAGATTGTTAACAACTTTAGCTTACTCAGCTCCATAATCAACCCTTTTAGCAGCAGAAGTCAGGAAATCAAGATGAATTGCTTTGGGGAAATCTGTGGTCAGAGACCTCTCCAAAGTGCTAAAGAGTAATGATATCAGTCTAGGGATTCAGGATATAGTCTTTGCGATTACTTTCTATATTAGAGAGCTGGACAATGACAGGGTGACAGAGGAAGAATTGATGCCTTTGAGTTGTGGTGCTGGAGAACAGTATTGAACATATACCATGGATCACCAAGAGAAAGAACAAGTCTGTATTGGAGAGGGTTAAACCAAGTTTCTCCATCTCACATACTTTGGGTATACCAGGAGGGACCAGTCCGTAAAGAAGGACAACATGCTTGGAAGAGTGGAGGAACAACATAGGAGAGGAAGGCCCTGGATAAGACGGATTAATACCAGAACTGGGGCAATGGGCGTAGATGTGTTAAAGCAAGGTTAAGAGCTACCGTGCATAGGGTCACTATGAGTTGCAGGCACTTAACACCAACAGCAAACCATCATCAAATCTACATATGAATCATCTACCTAATCTATATCAATCTGTAATCTATTTATCATCCGTCTATCTCACTCTCATCCTGTTTCCTCTCAGCCTCCCTCACAGATACGAATGTGGGGCAGAAGACACTGAAGATTTTACTTGGTGGATGTGATGTAAGAAAAGGACACTGGAGGAACCCCATCCCCCACTCCCTGTTAAGTGTTTGCTAAATGCTGGACAGCAGCTGCCTGTTCCCATGGAACTCTGTGCCTCACCCACCAAAAATATCAGAACACTTCCACCTGTCACACAAGAAAAGTTTATTGAAAAATAAAGTTCTCCCTATTTTCTCTACAACAGTGGAAAACAAAGCAGTGCTTTCTATGCAAGTACGGTACATTTGGACAATGACACCATGTTGCAGAATCCTGCCCTCACCCCAGACGCACTGCAGGACATGGATGGACCCAGGAGCTGTTTGAAGAAAGGTGAAAAATGGTGTCAGCTGAGAGTCCTCAGGGCTGACAGCAACAGGAAAAGGAAGCCACTCTCTCCTTTGACATCCTGTGTGATGATCTTCTTCCATTAATATTTGGGTGGGACAGTGAGAAAGGGACTTCCAAAACAAATTTCTCCCTGCTTTGGAGAAGGGACTGATGGTCCCTGGCCTCCTGTCCCTTCACCATCCAGCACCCCAAATGTGCCTCCTCCTTCAGGCAGGGCATCGCTCAAAGCAGAGGCACACAGCAGGTTCTGCCAGCTACATACAGGGTGGGGATGGGAAGCAGGGAGATTCTGTGTAGACTCCCCAGATTCTGGGATGTAGGGGGTGGTATTTGAAGGTGGCCAGTCTCAACTTCCTTCCCTATAAGTACTCAACAGAAAAAGCCAAATGAATGTGAAGGGGACACAGATCCAGCCAGGCCTCGGCATTCCACATTATCCAGGGACATATGGACAGGAGACAAACCTCCAGGGAAATAAAGAGGCCAGACCCACCCAAAACAGAAAGGTCACACTTGATGAGGTGATCGGAGGAGGCATAAGTTCTACCATGCCAGCCACACCCCCAAGCTCAAGACAACTTCACCTGAGCGGTTGTAACCAGCTTGGCCCGCTAGGCTGGCGGAGTTAGACAGGGGCCCCACTGGAAGTGACCTTTAATCTATGGGAACATGGGTAGCCAGGGTGTCTGATCCCTGTTGACAGGAGGGGCTACCTGGGAAACAGACTCATTCCATGGGTTGTTCTAGAGTTCTTGTCTCCTCAAAAAACTAAAGTAGAACCTCTTTTGTGGCATTTCAGAGGAGTAGGAGTTAAGGGATTCCAAAGATGGGATAATTTCTGATCAGGATGTGAGCTCCAGACCACCTTTTCCCTCTCCAGTGTCTAAGCCCTTGCAGCCTCACTTCATCTGTGGCTGAACCATGAAGAACTTTCAATCCACTAAGCAAATTTACAGAATACTATCAACCAGTGGGGTGGGTGTGGAACTTGGACATTCTAGACTCTTAATTCCTATGACACTTAATCCACATGGTATCTTCATGAAGGTATGACTTCTGAATAACAAGGAGTAAGGTCAGCTATTCTCAAATTTTGAGATTGCTAATAACACTAGTTAACATTTGCTAGGGTTCACTACGTGCCAGACACTGGGCTACATGGGTACCTTACAGCCACCCGAAGCACTAAGCAAGCTGGCAAGCTGGTTTTGTGTGTGTGTGTTTCTGCATCCAACTACATGGCTACTGTGGGAATTTGCTAGAAAATAAACTTGGTTTCCCACCTTTAGTTGAAGTCAGTGAGAATGAAAGGAGCTCGCCCTGCATTAGGAAATACTCACCCTCCCATTTGAGTAGA